TTAAAAAAAAAAGAAGACTGAGAACTACACTGATGAGAAAAAGGTCAGGAAAGCTGAAGTTGTGCCAGGGCATTGCCACCCTCCGCATCACGACAGTGCACCTACTCGTTCTTTAAAGGTAGCCAGGGCTGTGCACGGAGAGTTTGGCTGGAGAACCTTACCGACCCCTCCATCCTGCAGACCTGCTCTTGCCCCTTCGGAGGGCTCTCCCCTCCTTGCCAAGAGTTGCATGTTCGTAAGACAGGTTAAGATCAGAAACGGACTCTGTTGACTGGGGTCTTAAAAAGCTCATGGATGCCACCTAAAGAAAGAAGTGGGAAGAGCATCGAAGACACATGGACACAGTAGTCTAGTAGACGAATAGGCCACATGAACACCGTCTCCACACCGAGACCAGAAGAACCAGATGGTGCCCAGCTACCCCTACCAACTGCTCTGAAAAGGAACACATTAAAAGGCCGTGCACAGAGCGGGAGAAAAATGTGGAACAAAATTTTTTTTTTAAATCATAAAAAAAAGACTAAGGTCAGAGGTGAGTGGGCTCTCTAAACCAGGGTCCTTGTCACCCTTCACATATAGAAACTCACCCCCCGACTCAAGTCTCTAGGGCAGTGGTTCTCAACCTTCCATGCCACGACCCTTTCATACAGTTTCTCATAGTGTGGTGACCCCCCAAGCACAAAATTATTTCCGTTGCTACTTCATAACTGTAATTCATAATTGTCATTCAAACTGTAATTCATAACTGAATCGGGCGACCCCAAAGGGGTTGAGACCCACAGGTTGAGAACCGCTGCTCTAGGGAAACCATTACAGCAGGAAGGTATACATCTGTCCCTTTAAGATCAAAAAGGCAGCCTCAACCCACGGACAAAGTTCAGGAGGGCTCGGATATGAGGAGGAATGGAAACTGGAGGGTGGTGGTGGAGGGACAGGCGGGTGATGAGAGATGCTATTTTATTGGGATTGCCATCAATTACCTGAAACAAACTGTGACTGAACTACTGAATGGAAAACGTATCTGCTCGGTAAGCCTTCACCAAATTAAAAATTAAAAAAAAATTTTTTTTAAGAGCTTGCATGATCGGAATTGGCTGATAGACAATGCAGGAAAGGAAGTCATGCAAAGGCAACTACTTTCACCTGCTCTTTCAAGTCACACACACACACACACACACACACACACACACACACACACCCCACAGCGAAGGTGTGGGCTGGATAGTCAGGGTCCTGAGTCACGTGCTGACAACTGGCCTGACCAAGGCGTCCCTGGCCAGAGTGAGCTGTTCCTGGTGGGCAGGGGGGAAACACGTGGGGGGTCTGCGAGGAGACCTGACCTGGGCTCCGTGCACGGAGTCTCTGGAAATGCACTTCGGCCCCTCACGCCCACCCGGAGCAGGCTGTCAGCACACAGCAGCTCTCGAGCCCTAGGTAACATTGAAAAATTTCAAAGGATACGGTGATTTCACTTGCTGGTGAACATATACTTATGGCTCTTGGATAATTTTTCAGGTGTTGTGAGGGACGGGATTGACTCTCCCGTCTTAAAAGTTTGTTGACATATTAAAAAAATAATAAGATAAAAGCTTGCCTGACTAATGTACTACCACACACGCTGACACGTCGACACTGTCTGAAGGCCTCAGTTTCCCCTTACACATGTAGCAGTTGCTACCAAGTGCTCTGCAAAATCGCTTCAAAGTTTCCAAACACGGCTCACAGGCAGTGCCTGCCTTGTTTTCTGAGAGCGCCCTGGAGGCGTGATGGTGACAGGTTAGGCTGCTAACTGACAGGTCGGCAGTCCCCAGCACCAACTGCTTGTTGTCCCATCAAGAGCTGCAGTCTGGGAAACCCATGGGGCAGGTCTATCTGGTCCTATAGCGTCGCTCTGAGTTGGCATCCGCCTTGGTGGTGTCGTGGTTAAGAACTGGCCTGCAATCTGCAAGGTCAATGGTTTGAAACCACCAGCTGATCCCAGGGAGGAAGACGAGGCTCTACTCCTGTGAACAGTTACCGTAGAGTTACCGTCTGGGAGTTCTACGCAGTCCCAAAACTGTCGGCAGAGACTCCACCCACGGCAGTGAGTTTGGTTTTGGATTTTGAACTTACTTTCGAGGTGACTGCCACACATAAGAGCAGGCAGGGCAGGTGGAGCTGTCCCCATCTGGGGACACCGAGGCTGGCTGCAGGGGTTCATGACTGCCACACATAAGAGCAGGCAGGGCAGGTGGAGCTGTCCCCATCTTAGAGATGGGGACACCGAGGCTGGCTGCAGGGGTTCAGTGACGCTCCTGAGAGCCCAACAGTTGAGAGGATAGAGCTGGAGTGAGAGCAAGGTCGCTGAGCACCACCCTTCCCACACTCGCTGCCTGTACTCAAAGCCGGGGAGGCCACAGCCCAAGACGCCCTCCGCCAGGCGCACACCGACATGACCTTGCTGACGTGGACGTTGACGGCCAGCTGGAGCATGGGTCACCTGCCAGGAAGATGGAACCCCTTCTTCTCGGGTCTGCGCCTTGCTCATCCATCTCTTTAGCAAAGAGTGTGATGCCCGGCACAAAGCTCGGTGTCTCTCGATGGAGTGGGGAGACAGTGGGGCAGAGAACCGCAGAAGTTTAGATGCAGACTTGCCCACTGCCACAATGTGGATTCCGACTCTCACTTTGACCCCGACCCCGTATGGAGTTTCGGAGGCTTTGAATCTTTAAGGGAGCAGACAGTCTCAGCGTTCTCCCAAGGACAGGCTGGTAGGTTTGACCCACTGACCTTGTGAATAGCAGTCCCACAGTGTGCCACCAGGGATCCCTAGAAGCAGACTCAATGCCAGGGAGTGGATGCTGACTCAGAGCGATCATACAGCGTAGGGTAGAACTGCCCCTGTGAGTTTCTGAGGCTGTAATTCTTCACAGGAGTAGAAATCCCAGTCTTTCTCCCAAACTGCTGACCTTGTAATTAGCATAATCAGGGCTCATAGAAGACATCAGAAACCAAATTCACTGCGCAATTGAGTCAATGCTGATTCATAGGGACCCCCTGTGGGTTTCGGAAACAGAGCTTGTTAAAAGCCTAGTATTTCTCATGCAGAGCTGCTAGGGGTTTCAAACTGCCGACCATGTGGATCATAGCTTAGCACCTAACCACTACACCACCAGGGCTCCTTTAGAAGCAGCCTAGTCATGTGATAATTGACTATTGAGCCTCAATGAGACCTACTTTTGAAAAACGGGGCTGTGAAGGAAATTAAATGAGGAAAGGCTTTGAAAGAGCTTGGTGGGAGTGATGAGGAAGAGGAAGAAAGAGCAGAGACCCCTGTGTTCACGCCCTTGGTATAATCCCCCTGCCTTACATGTGGGTGGGACTTGCAACTGGCTTCTAACCCATGGAATGTGGCAACAGTGATGAGCATCATTCCCTCGATACAATGTGATCACGAGAATGACATTCTATCACCTTTACCACATTGCTAGCAGACTTGTTCCAAAATGTTCCCTCTTGCCGGCCCTGAAGGACCAGGCTGGAAGGCTCACAAGGGCCTCTAGAAACTGAGGCCAGAGTTGTCAGTCCTGACACTGTAAAAAACTCTTCCCATGTCAAGTGTCCAACCTCACAGCTTTGACTGCAACCTGGCCCTGCGTAAGTCACAGCTGACTGCAACAGAGTGACAAGTGTGTGTTCTTTGAAGCCACTAAGTCTGTGGTGGCGTTGTTACCGAGCAAAAGAAAGCTAATGCTGGAGTGGGGCAGGCTTGAAGAAAAGTCAAGAGGCATCAATGGAAGGCAGCCTTGAAAGAAAAAAATATATATAAATAAATACATCCATCCATCCATCCATCCATCCATCCATCCATCCATCCATCCATCCATCCATCCATCCATGCAGGAGTCTTGGTGGCGTAGTGGTTATGTGTTGAGTCCTAATCTGCAAGGTCAGCAGTTCAAAACCACCAGGCTTTCTCCTCCCATAAAGGTTCAGTCTTAGAAACTCACGGGGTGGGGGGTGGGGTGGGGGTGGGGGTGTTCTGCCCTGTCCTATAGTATAGGGCTGCCATGAGTCAGAATTTGACACTGCAGCTTATTTATCTATCACCTACACCAATCTTAGGCTGGCAGGAAAATTTCTCTGTCTTTTCAGTAACAGTGGCAGGTCCAGATTGTTAGCTAAAGACAACTTGTGTTTTCAGGTGGGATTTCTACAGTTTTGAGCAGCGCGGCCACCACGACAGGCCGCTTCTCCACAACACACGCTGGAGGGGCCCATGCTTCTCGGTCTGCTTGTGCCTTCTTCCTTGGCATGAATCAGCGCCTACAGCTGCCAGTGACAACAATCAGCCTAATGCCGTCTAATTGACCTCCCGCCTCCTGGGTCTGCTGTGTGCCCTCCGGCCAGCCACTGAAGCCTTCCTTTCCCATCAGACCCCAGGCAAAGCGGTGCCTGGCCTGCCCACGCGCCTGCTCAGGATGAACCCTTGTCCCCCAGCACACACCAAGGTCTCCGCTCCCTTCCCCCAGTAAGAAAGCCAGAACCCCCTCTGCAGAGCTGGATCCTTTGATTTCTCAGCCCCAATTAGAGCTGGCAGCATTAAGCCCGCTCTGTTCAACTTGCTGTGTTTCATTTTTTGAAACACTTCCATGGCCATCCATGAAAAAGTGCAGGGGGTGGGAAGGAGGAGAGTCAGAAAGATAGTAGGAGGCAAGAAGGGGGACCAAGACATCCTCCCCACAAACCAACAGCATCTCTCTCTGGCTTTGGCCAGTCTTGCCTCTAGAGGATGGAGACGAGGCTGCTCTCTGGGGTTGTGTGTGTGATCTTATTAGGAAAAGTGAGCGATACCCACACGCCAGAGCACAAAACAACTGGGGAAAATAAATCCTCAACACGTGTCACAGAAAGCTGCCCACTTCTCAAGAGAGTTCAGTGCCCTGCCCTCCTCTCCCCTTCCCACCCCTCCTGGGCTCACAGTAACTCGCCAACGCCCTGTGTTTAAAACCGGCTCTTACCTACAACCTGGATGACCTGGGCCAGGAGGACGCCATCCGTCACATCTTGCTGGAGGTCCTTGATGAGACGCTTGTGGCCGGATTTCGCGAGATAATGATTGGCCCAGTCTGTGTAGATCTGCAAGAAAGCAAGCAGGCAATGTTAGGAAGCCCGGGGGCTCCATCGCTGGGTCTGCGCAGCTGCTGGGCCGGCGGCAGCCACTGTCTGGCCTACGAGCTGTCTGCCGGGCGGGCCAGCACCATTAGCATGCAGTGCATTGTGCTGGGCAGGCATTCAGCTAATGGAAGCCTGGCTCTGGCCTATTGAGAAGGCTGCCGTCAAGGCTCAGGGGAAGCCAAAGAAAGCTTCAAAACATGCAGAGGCCTGAATGGGGCAGGGGACATGGAACTAAACAGTCTGCTCCAGGCCGCTTTTTGAGAGGCTACAGCTCAAAATACACGCCGAGTCTTCCCAGCTCCCCCCACCCTCTCATCTTTTTCTCTTTATTGAGAAAACGTATGGGGAAGTTGCCACCCAACTGGCATCTCTTAATGGGCCATTTCAGAGTACGGGGAGCTATTGAGCCAGCTGGGATCTCAGGAACTGTGGCCCCTTGTAAAGAAGCCAAGTACTAAAACAGGGTGCCCCTCCAATTATCCTGGTGCTTGTGTGAGTGGAGTTATTTATGGCCGCACAATCATCACCAATTTAACCTTCCATTTAAAAGCCAAGCATCATTTCCATTGTTGGGATTCTGTGGACAAAACACAGCCAGTCCTAGCGTTTTTAAACACCTGGCTGGTGTGCACAGCACCCTGGAAGGCGGAAGCAGGGGCACCGGTAGGAAGCAGAGAGCAGATCTCTTGGGGAATGTGAAGCGGCTTCAAAAGGTGTGTGGAAAGATGGAATTACGAAAGGTGATGGGATTTCCCCATGCGGCTTCTGAAGCCTCCTGGTAATTTTCGTGCGGTGAGTCTATGAGCACGTGAGGAGCAGGTCTGCTATGTGAGGAGTAGCGGGTGTGCACAAGAATCAACGTGAGCCCTTCCCAACACAACTGCTGAAGACAGCATGGGCACCTAAGTTAATGTGGTGAAGAAAGCTGATGGTGCCCGGCTATCAAAAAGATAGCATCTGGGGTCTTAAGGGCTTGAAGGTAAACAAGCGGCCATCTAGCTAGGAAGCAACAAAGTCCACATGGAAGAAGCACACCAGCCTGTGTGATCATGAGGTGTAGATGGGATCAGGTAACAGGCATCTAAAACCCAGAACAAACAATCATATCGATGTGAATGAGGGAGTGGGGGCTGAGTAGAGACCCAAAGCCCATCTGTAGACAACTGGATATCCCCTTACAGAAGGGTCACAAGGAAGAGATGAGCAAGTCAGGGTGCAGCATAGCACCAACGAAACAACTTTCCTCTAGTTCTTTAATTCTCCCTCTCCCCCACTATCATAACCCACTATCATTCTACTTTACAAATCCGGCTAGACCAGAGGATGTGCACAGGTACAGAAAAGAGCTGGAAACACAGGGAATCCAGGACAGATAAACCTCTCAGGACCAATAATGAGAGTAGCAATACCAGGAGGGTAAGCGGAAGGTGCGGGTAGGAAGGGGGAACAGACCACAATGATCTACATATAACCCCCTCTCAGGGGGACAAACAACAGAAAAGTGGGTGAAGGGAGACATCAGTCAGTGTAGACATGAAAAAATAATAATTTATATGCTATCAAGGGTTCAAGAGGGAGGGAGGAGGGTATGAGCTGATACCTAAGGCTCAAGTAGAAAGAAAATATTTTGAAAATGATGATGGCAACATATGTACAAATGTGCTTGACGCAATAGATGGATGGATGGTGATGAGCTATAAGAACCCCCAATAACATGATTTATTAAAAAAATGGAAAGAACCCACGTGGGCAGCCCAAACCCATTACAGTACAGAGACGACGGCAGGGGCTAGCCAACCACGAAGGGGCCAAATCCAGCTGGCCACGTGTCTTCCTAAACAGTGTTTGCATGGCACAGCCAGAGCCACTCATGGCCTGCGGCTGTGTTCCTGCTACACAAGCCGAGTCCTGCTGACCGGCACACCCCTGGGCCTGCGACGCCTCCCCGATATAATGTCTGACCCTTCCCAGAGAAAGTGGGCTGGTGTGAACAGCAAAGGCCAGGGGACACTGCCTGCCTGCACAGACCAAGTGCTCAGGGAGACAGGGCACACCAGGCTCTTCCTCTGCCCCCTGTATGATGCTCCCCTGTCCCCCTGGCAAGGCTCAGATCAAAGGCTAGTGCCCCCAGAGCCCCCCTTGGCTGCAGGGGACCCTGAGAGCCAGGAAGCTTATATACACTGACACCATCTCTCTGATGTGGGTACACTCCCCTTCCCCCCATCAAATCTTGCCCCACTCTGCACCACGCTGGCAGGCCCTCACTGTGGGAAAGCATGTGGCACTGGGAAGTGGCTGCTAGGCTGAACTGACCAAGAAGAGAAAGTGCAAGTCCTGGAGAAATGGAATATAGAGACTTAAATAATGTAGGCTTTCAGTGAATTCTCAGTCAGGATCTCCTTACGGTTTGAAAAGTGGACGGAGCAGGGAGAGTCAACCAGGGCATAGTTCAAGCGCCATCAGTCACCGGGAGCCAGGAACAAGCAGTCATCATGTGGAGCCAGGAACAAGCACACCAACAGACACGTCTGGTCAGAGCTCTCAACTTCCTGAAGAGGCGAATCCTAGCCAATCAGCTAGCTTTGTTTTTTTGAAATCTGTTCTCAAGGACCATGCTAAGCCCTGACATGAACCCAGTCCCGTTCCTTTTTGTTCTGTCCCAGTGGCTCCTGCAGTGAGAAAAACACTCTTCCAGGGAGCATCCTTAAGAAGTGAACTTGCAACATTCTTCGTCTTCCAAGACAGGTTCCCTCCCTCAGGAGCATCAACCCTGCAATGCTCCCCAAAACACACTCACTGCCATCGAGTCGATGCCGGCTCACACTGACCCCATCGGACAGGGTAAAACTGCCCCCTGTGAGTTTCCAAGACTCTAACTTAGGCGTCCTCAAACTACGGCCCGCGGGCCACATGCGGCCCACCGAGGACATTTATCCAGGCCACCCGGTGTTTTTGCCCCGTTAGTTTTTTTACTTCAAAGTAAGATATGTGCAGTGTGCATAGGAATTTGTTCATAGTTTTTTTTAAACTATAGTCTGGCCTTCCAATGGGTCTGAGGGACAGTGAACTGGCTCCCTATTTAAAAAGTTTGAGGAGCCCTGCTCTAACTCTTTGACAGGAGAAAGCCCCGCCTTTCTCCTGAGGAGCTTCTGGTGGTTTCGAACTTTGGACCTTGTAGATTGCAGCCCAATGTGTAACCATTATGCCATCGATGCTAGCAGGGATAAAAAGACACAGGGATTTTGGTCCAAGTCCCAGCCACCCAGAAGGGCTTTCTTCAGAGCCTCATTTCCTGAAGTTCTGGTGATCCCCAGAGGCCTATGACTCCTTGATCCCGGCTTGCCCCAGGGAAGGCCGGCACCTGTGGACTTTCAGCAGAAAGGAACCGGAGGAAGGAACTCCCAGCAAGGAGGACTAAGGCATCACCACCACCCCTACCTCAAATGATGAAATCCTGTCCACGCAGGCTCCAGCAGTGTTCCTCCCTTACACGGACACGAGGAGTCCCTGGGGCTGCGATGGCTGACACACGAGGTGGCTAAATCAAGGGTCAGAGGAGGTTCAAGTCTACCAGGGGACACTTCTGGAGGGAAAAAAAATGTCCTGGCCATGTACTTCTGAAGAAAAAAGGGAAGAGGAAGCTCAGTCACTGAGCCCCCTCGGAGCCCCTGGGGTCACCGTGCGCTGGGGCGGACCGGATGGATGTCCTCAGCTGGTTCACCTGCCTCTGCGCTCTGGCCCTCCGGCCCTCAGAGCTCACGTCTCAGCCCTTGGAGCCCAAGGCTCCGCGCAACCACCCCAGGCTCCCAGAGAGCTCTGCGAGGGAGAGGGGCTGTTGTCAGAGGCTGGGAGAGATCAAAGGGGAGGGCAGGCAGAGCCGGCTACACAGTGACTCTGTTTTGATTCACTTGATCACCCCTGAGAGAAGAACCTCAAGGCGGGGGTCAGTTGTTTGCCTTTAACTTCACGTTGTGCCATAGCAAACAGGCTGAGATCCACGGGGAGAAAATCAATGGATCGACGGATGTTAAAAACAACAACCAGACAACAAAACCTGGCTATTAGTTGTAATAACAACACTCATTTTAAAAACTATCCTGTGTCTCAGCGTTACTGAGCTTACACTGCAATTAGCCCTCCAGGGAAGCAAGATAGCACTGGAGAGAAGAAACCCAGGAGAAACTCGACAAGACAACTGCCCCACGTGCCCTGGGACCCCGCGCCCTGGGACCCCGCGCCCTGGGAACCACGCGCCCT